CAACAGTCATTGATTTGCTGAATTCTGCTAACTAGCCCATTTCCTGAGGCAGATGACATATTCCTGCGAGCTCCTCGTGCTACCTAACAATTCAAAGAAGAGAGGACTATTGATGTTTCAAAGAACGGTCAGCAACTGGACAATTTGTCTCTCTCCCTTGTCTGGTTCTTGCATGTTTGTTCGTAGTCTCTTTGGGACAGCCTGCTTTGAGGCTTGTTTCTTCATAACCATGGAACACATTTTGTGAGTGAAGCAGGGAACAGAACATGGCTGACTGTGCAAAGACAGCAGGCAAAGTCCGAGTTCCCACAATGGCAGGTGACAGCCACCCCCTTGCTCTGATTCCTGAGAGTCCACAGAGCACTCAGGTTATCAAACACTCTATTACCTTGTGCGCCCCCTGCTGGCCCTCGGCCTGCAGGACTGAGGTGTGCCTGAAGGTGAGTCTACCCACGTCTCTGCAGCTGCCAGCATGCTTCTCCCCGACTTCATCACCACATCGGCAAACTACAGCTCTCCTCCCCAAGCCCACAAAGCCTGGTGCTTACTGAAAAGCCCCTAACTTTATGCTCTGTGTCTCTCACCACTGTCTGCTATGTGGCCAGTCCCTAAGTTTCTCCAAGCCAGTAGCCAAGACTTGGACATTTTCCACACCCCAGGGCATCTCCAAAGTGGCCAGTTTCGGCGGGGAAACCATCAGAAAGTGTACTCTGATGAGTCTGGAAACAATTAGCAGTGGAGACTAACAAATAGAGGCATACCCAACCTCATTGGAAAGAGGAGATCACAGATAACGTTGTGAAATGGTCTGTGACTCCAGGTGTGCAATTAATACCTATTGCCAAGAATTTTTTCAACCTAGAAAAGATATTCCATCCTTTCCTTTCCACTACTTTCTTCCCAGTATTGACATTCAGTCCTAAAACATTTATACCAAATTTATAAGGCAGCACACAGTCCTATATATGTGTGTGCACAGGCACCCACATTCACACACACTTCTCTTTAAACTGTTTTCCTTGCTAAAACTCAATAATTCTCTTAAGCCTGACAACTATTCACTGTTAAAGAAATGGCCATAGCAGCAATCCAGGACACTCAGGTCCCTGGCATCCCACGTCTCCAGGACTGAGACCATTCGGGCTTTCAGCCCTAACCTCAACACCTCAGGTTATAGTTTCTTTGTTGCTGATACGAGCTCTGAGACTGTCCCCATGGAGACATAAAAAGGCTTCTGGTTTCTACTTAATAAGGAAACCTGAAAATATACAAGACCCTAAATGCATGGCCTTAGAGAGAATTTTCCCATGGGCCACATCCAGGTGTAAGAAATAATTAGGATGGGCACAGCCACACTTGTATTAAATCCATGTTACATCTACATGCCTGCAAAACAGGAGTGCCCACTCTCCACATTGTTTCTTATGTTGTAACTTTGCTTTGTTTCTTCTCTTGTCTTACATGACAATGCGAATGTTTTCTGCTCTGTTCTTTCCAGTGTTTGTCCACTTTCTTGGTAACATGACATCCTTGGATAGTAGACAATGGACAGAAGACAAGAAACTGCCCAGGATAGGATAGCTGATGGGTAGCCCCTGCTCACCCAGCTGACTACCCTAATGCCACTCATCTTAAAGAAGAAATATGAGTTACAAAGAACGGAGAGGCTGAGTCAAGGAGAGAATATATCCAAGCAGATTAAGGGCCACCAAGATCTATTGTGAGTCCACAGATCACCACTAAGCCCCCTGATTGAAACTGTATTTTCAGCTAGAATATACCCATCCCTTGGGCTTAGGTAATGACATTTTCTATTTCTCTGATTTTCCACAAGACCTGTTAAAGCAGGGGATCCTCATAAGAACATAAGAACATGGAGATCCCCATGTCCTAAGTGCCCCTCTGATGACGTCACTATCCACTGCAAGACAGACTGTTTTAGATCAGGCAATTGTAAATACTGGTGGCATCTGCAATGTCTAACCATGGTAACTTAGGGGTTCTGCTGCTAACTTTGATTTTAACTTGTTTCTGGGCCAGTAACTTAGATCCCTACCCTTACCTTAATGCACTTTTTATAGTTTAATTTCCTTTTTGCGGTGCTTTTTGGAGCTGGAACTTTTTTTTTAAGCAATATGAGTCAATTGAAATCAGATTTCCCCTAAAGAAATAGCACAGATCACAGAGTGGCTTAACCTGAAAGTGGTGATACCATGGAGAATCATATTCCTCTTGGCTACCCCTCTGTGTCTAGCTTAATGATCTGTTCACCCCGGGCCGCATAGAGGTAAAGTGTCAGGACTCATGAACAAAGTCTCCTAAAAGTACATACAAGTTATTTCTTTTATCCACAAACGCATTGTGGTTGGAATTCACTTTTCAATCCCTATTCAGCACTTCCTGATAAGATTAACATTACTTCCTGCCATGATTAGGGTTGCCAAGACATGAATAGAGAGAGAAGCATTTTTAAGGAAAGCAGGTCATTGCAGACAAGACCAGCCAGAAAAACCTATGAAGTGAGCGTAGCACTTCCTTGCCAATGATTTTCTCTCATGTGAACGGAAGATGTAAAACTCTGTGGAGAAGCGTCATCATTTCAGGCCACGAGACCTGGGAGGCAAGAACCCAGACACAGCTGGTTCAGAAGAGAAGGATGGAGAACAAAGGGGTCATAGGAACTTCCCCCTCTCCTACACAACTAACCTTTAAGAATGACTTGGACTCTATGGGTTGTATTTTTTGCTTTAGCCTACAAAGTTGGACATATATCAAGAAACCTCCGCCTGCCCCCATAGCAAGTTTGTGTCGAATGAATATGTATGAGAAGTACTTCACAGAGATCTTGGTGTCTGGTTCTCATAGTAGGGTGCCCACACCACTTTTGATTCCAGAACTGCTTTTGCAGGAACTACACAATCATCTTTGCAAAGCAATTGAGACACTCAGAGCACAGGCAAGAGCAAGTCAGGGACGATGGTTGCTTCCATGACATTGCCCAGGGTGGGCTCTGGGGATCCTCAGAGCTCAGTGATGAATGAATGAGTTAATGAGATCAGACATGCTGTACACACACTGCCTCCATGTTTCTTTAAAGTTTGCATAAACGGGCCATGGCTGGTAGAAGAAAGTTTTGTGACATAGCTGGCACGGTCACCTCTGAACTACCCAGCTGCTTTGAGAAGAAAGAATGAACTGAAAGACAACAGGTGAGTCAAGCATTAACGAGAGAAAAATTTGCATTCTTTTGCCTGCAGTTGTTCAACCTTTTGAAGACCAGGATTAAAATGCACCAACTTTAGACATGGAAAAGAGGGCAGCAGATAGGGGTGAGATTTCCCTTGAATTAGCTTTATTTAAGGGACGAAGTCTTGTTTTCGTTTTGTTTGTTGGCAGTTGTTTTTTATTTTATTTTGTACGTTTGGGTGTTTTGCCCACCTGTCTGTGCATCATGTGCGCTCCTGGCACTCATGGAGGCCAGAAGGGACATCAGATCCCCTGGAACTGGAGTCATAGCCAGTTGTGAGCACCCATGGTCCTGGGACCAGTAGCCAGTGCTCTAATACCGAGGCATCCATGCTCAAATTGCTTTGCTTCTTGGGTGGCGATCACCAGACATCCTTCAGTATCTGAGTAAATGCAGGCATTGCTAAGAAGTTTGTCCAGAAATCAAGATCAGAAAATGAAAAAGAAAACACAGAAACAGCAAAAAAAACCAATACTGTTTGTCCTTCCCTCCATCTTCTTCCTAAGAGTCGTCCAGACCAAAAACAGTCAATGCTATCTGTTCTCCAGAAATAGATTCTTCTATTTAACTCATTTTTTCTTCCATAGAGTCAAATCTCACTGCTGCACTTCCAACTGCGGCAACAGGTTTCTAATGCTCAACCGGACTACGTCAGCATATTAATTAGTCTCCAAGACCCCAAGCAATAAAAATTTCATAGTTCAAAGTCACAGTTTGACTTACTTACAATTTACAAATAACTTGGCAAACTCTGTGCCAGGCCACTCCATCTGATAGAAAATATACTGCCATTGGAGTTAACAAAAGCATCTTTCTGTGCTACCTCACTACAGTGGTCCTGCAAGTGAACATCGCCTGGATAAAACCCTAGCCACATTTTCACTCTCATTAACCACAGTAGGGTACCACACAGTTTGCCTGGCTCCTGCGTAGACCACTGTGCACCATTTTAGTAGCAGCAGTTTGATGGGTTTTATGGCAGGTGATATATGGAGTGGGAGTTTCGGGAGTCGTAAACAGAAGGCACTGTGTATCACAATGTGGTTTAGGGATATAATGACTGTGTTGTAAAGCAAGGCATGACAATACTGCACTGGGCTTGGGGTACTGAACCAATAGACCAAACAGTTCGAAATAATTCAAGGAAGAAGGAAAATCCCCTAGAAGGTGGGTGCACGTGCACACATATGCACACAGAACTTCAGCTCTCATTCATTAATTACTTCTAATGAATTTGAATATGAGCTACTAAAACTGAAACAAAGTCATGTCTCCCTGGAAAAAGTGGAGTGTTTCTCCCTCCTTCTAGGGCACTGCTTTTCCTGCTGCTTCTGTTTCATTCTTACCCATGTGCCCAGTAATTGGGTGGAATTAGTCCTGGTATAAGGAAAAGAGCAACAGAAATTTAGTGAGCTACATACAGAGGTGAAAAATTACACCAAAGTAAACTTCCTTCGCTCTCCAGGGAAAGCAGTCACCTGTGGTAGGCGGTGAAGTCTGTCTGACGTGGGGAGTTCCTCTCCCTCCAGCAGCATGCAGACTATTGAGCTTGGCCACTCTCAGCATCTATGAACACATCCGGTGTGCGTGACCCCGTCATTTCTAGTCACTTTCCTGGAAAGTCACATAACGGGAAATTGGATGTGACTTTCTTCAAGGAAAAAGACATTGGACCAACAAAAGAGACCTTGTGGTTTCTAGAACAACTCAGGAAATTTCCCTGTCTCCATTACTTACAGCACACTGTTCTGACCTGCTGTGAAGATCACACTAGGTAGTATTTGAAACTAGGAAGCCATTCTGATCAGCAGCAGCAGCAGCATCACTGCCATAGAGGCTTGATAATCTGGGATGCAATGTGGTCTTTGTTCTTGCTGTTTTCTCCTCCGTGGTTTCTACAGAAAAGTAAGAACCATATTTCAATGGGTGATTATAAATGCAGAAAGTAGGATTTCCTTGACACACAGACAAAGAAGCATGTGCATCTGTTGAGGGAACCCTCAAGACTGCAAAATCTTGGGGATCCATAGATATATAAATTTGGGATTTTATGGCAATGTCATGGAGAGGTGACTTCTGGCTGAGTGGACATAAAGAACCTATCTGAGTCTGGACAGAGAAGGCTCCCTACATTAAAAAGAACATAGTTCCATGCAAGCCCTGAACTCAACAAGCAACAAGGAACCTCTTTATGTTCAGTATCCAGCGCTGCCTAACTCCAAACAGGCTTCATAAAACATCCCTACTCCTTACCCTCAACTCAAACTAGTAAGATTGCATTTCACAGTAAGCTGAGTTAAATCAGACTGAATTTGTTTAAATAAAGCATACTTGCATGTGTGGCCTAAAGGTCAGACTTATAGTCACATCACCTTAGATTAATAGGATCAGGACAAGCATATAGTTCAACTATTATTTAAATTACTTAGTACAACACTGCCAGGAGAGTCTCATTGTTACTTAGTTCCCATTTGGCCACTACTCTTTCAAATCTGTGTGTAAAATCTGAGAAGACTCAAAGGACTATTACACACACACACACACACACACACACACACACACAGAGAGAGAGAGAGAGAGAGAGAGAGAGAGAGAGAGAGAGAGAGAGAGAGAGAGAGAGAGAGAGAGTCTGTATGTGTGTATATGTGCACACTGTGTGTATGCTCGGAACATATTATGTGCTCATTCACATGCACAGATGAAATCCCCCATGTGTGCATGTGCACATGTGGAGACAGAGGCCATCACCAACACATTCTTCTTCACTCTCCACCTTAGTTCTTTAAACTAGGTCTCTTGGTGAACCTGGAATTCACCAACTGTGTAGATTGGCTGGCCATTGAGCCCATGTGATCTACTTTTCTCTGCCCCGCCCACCAGCACCAGGGTTCCAAACCCACACCACCAAGCTCAGCTTTCCTGAGCACTTAACTCAATGCTCTGTCTCCCTACAAACTTATTCTAAATCTCCCTGTCACTGCCTCATTAGCATCCATCTTTGTATTTGCAGGACCAGAAGAGACACAGACTCCACTCATCTATGTTCATCCCAGCCCTCATGCTTAGATGCCAAATCTGAGCCAGGCATTCCGCCATGGTCCATGTGGAGCTGCCAAGGCTGTCACTTCATTTCCTTCTCCTTTCTTAACAAGGAAATGACTGACCCACGTGTAGTACGTATCTATTTATCAACAGATCATAAGCCCAGTCTTCTGAGATCTTGTGACAGGTCCCATTAGCTGTGAGCTACCCGATAATGTGTATAATCAGTTGTTAATGGCAATATGCTATTCCACGATAACTGGGCCATTAGTGCTGCCTCTACGTAGGCAATATTCCACCTGACTGTACCTACTCTGGGAAGCTGTGCACCTCAATTCTAATGGTTTCCCTAGGAGACAGAGTGCTTCCCTAAATTACTCATGCTGAACATCTTGTGTCTCTTTACAGTTTGTCTAGAACATCTTATAACACTGAGTTGTCAGTCAAAATAACATGCCATTTGAACAAAGGAACATATGCAATAACCCCTAACCTTCAAGATGCCTTGCGTCACAGAGAGATGATTGACACTTGGGGAGCACCCTAAATTCCAAGTGCCTCTAGAAACAGATCTTCTTATTGCCATACTACATATGAATCCTTTCAAAGGTTCTAGCCGCTGTTCTGTGCTTACTTCTATCTGAAGAAACTTCAACAAGAAGTCACACATCGCTCTCTTTCTCCTTCTCTGTCTCTCTCACACACTGTCTTTCTTAAATATACATGTCCCCACAGCAAAGCTTAGGTTAACATCAGCCAAAGTTTCCTTTATATGTATTTCCATCCCAATGCATTGAAAGAATCAGAACATAAAGTTGCAAAAGTTTCAAAGAAAAACAGTAGAAGCAAAACTCTATGTAGTAACTAAAAGTCTGTGTCCATCACCCAACCAGAACAAGTTCCAACCTCTGCCCAAGTTCCAACACTTGGGAAATGCCCTAGCCTAGACCTTCATTGACCAGACTTCAATTTATTTGAAAATTCAAAGTCTCACTGAACCTAGATATCTGTCAACTGTATCCAGTCCACACTCAGGTGATGTACATCCAGGCTTCATCCCAGCACGTCCTATCAAAGGCCCTTGAGTTTTACTACCATCTCCATAAAAAGGAAATTTAGCACTAAGGACTTGCCAAAGAGTCATCCCTTGTTTTTGAAGAAAAATAAAGAATGAGATGTTTGCAAAGTCCAGTGAGGAAGGGCAAGTCTTTGACTTTCATTCTCACTCATGTCCTTGGCAGCCCACACTCTGTGGTCTTGGTCTGCTGTTTCCTCAGAGTCACCAGGAAAGCAAAGTCTCCCTCAGACCTTGGAGGCTAGGGTTCTTAACCAAGATTAGCACCCTAGGTGACTGATGACAGCCCAGGTTCATGTTCACCCCAGCATTAAAGTGGAGATCGCTGTTTCACAAAGTGACAGCAGCAGGATGGAGAGGCTAAGTCTCCAAGTGTGCAGAGCTCAAAACATCAACTCCTAGCATTTTGAATTCTCTCTGAAGGGAGGTAGATGTAAGATACACTCAAAATCATCAACCTAGACTAGTTCAGTAAGATCAGACATGCTCACCCACGTGCCCCATGACAACCTGGAGAAAAAGATGAGACTAGGAAGAATTCCTCCTCCCTAGGTGGTATCTCAATGCTTTCTTAAGCATGGAGGACAATTCCTTGAGCAACCATTCCATGCCATACACTGCACAGATGATACAAGGATGAACCAATTAGAACATAACTCTATACCTCACTTTCTAAAATGATGTTTCCTTCTTGGCTCAAAAAAAAAACATGCTTTTTGTTGTTTGTTTGCTTGAGATAGCATTTCTTTTGTAGCTTTGGCTATCCTATAACTAACTGTGTAGACCAGGATGTCCTAGAACTCACAGAGATCTACCTGCCTTTGCCTCCCAAGTGCTGGGATTAAAGGCACAAAAGACCACCCAGCTTGGAAACCCATCTTAAGATGTGGATCTCTTTAGGGAATCTGAGCCTTTCGATATAAGGAGAAACAGCTACACATATTTCCTGAAGAATTTGGTGCCAGGACTCTATCACACAGTTCAACTCTCCAGTTCTGTATGAATTTTTGCATCTTTTCATTCATGCATCATCCACTGCACATATTCAGCCAATAAATATTCACTAAATGCAGGGTATGTATGCTATAAGGAGCTGCTAAGATACAATGCTCAGTAAACATAATCTCCAACTTACGGAGGTTAAGAACCAATTAATTGAAAGCAAATGAAAAATTTCAAATGTAAGGGAAAGTATCACCCCCGCTTATCCAAACCCTTTCCAGGCTGTCCCAGTTTATCTGCTCACCTTCAGGCTCAACACTAATAATTCTCCTTTGTGAGTCCCTTAGTGAGTCTTCTACCTTGGTGTTCTGGACTGTGTGCACACCTCTGGAACACGTCCTATGAGCACTTGTTATCTCACTGTCTTTACCTTGAATTGAGCCAATCAGCTGTACCTCCACCCTCGCGGGCTATCATAGGGAGATAAGGGCTGCCTTCCTGACTACTTAGAGAGCCTCGTCACCCATGATCTTATGATACTCTCATAGTATGCACAGAAAGAATCATATCTGTTACATAGCAGAGGAGAAGCCAGTGATGGTGCACTTCAGTGAGCTATTCATTAAACATAACATTATATCCTAAAGCTTAAATGTTTAAACTCAACAAAAATGCAATAAGGAAACTATTACCTGTTTTTATCAATGAGGAAACTGAGGCACAGGATGATGATTTGCCCAAGGTGCATGTGACCTGTAGTGGTTACAGTGAGATTCATCCTAGATGGCCTGACTCTGGAGCTAGATGCCAAATTGTTTGATTTGAAATCTTGTGCTGCAGTCAGATGTCCACACATTCATAGTACTGACTACACATCAGAACTCCTCTTGGTCCAGTCATATTATCATCCTTACCAAGTAGAGATCATCAAGTAACAGCAAGAAATACAGATGTCCCTGTGCAGAATCAAAAGTCAACAGGCAATTGTTTCTAGTAAATTTTGATGGCCCTCTTGTATTACTAGCTTTTATTATGGTTCTCTCCTCTCTCTCTCTCTCTCTCTCTCTCTCTCTCTCTCTCTCTCTGTGTGTGTGTGTGTGTGTGTGTGTGTGTGTGTGTGTCTTTGGAAAAATAGATCACAGGCAGTGTCTGGGAGTGATACACTTTTCCCACTGGTTGTCTATTTATTGGTACCCCTGGTTCTTGCATGTGACTTCTCACATCTCAAAGTGACTACTTATTCTACATCTTTCTTTCTCCCCAAAGCATTCAGGATTTTTTGTCTGTTGTTTTTTCCTGGAAAACATGGAGGTTTCCTCTAGGAAGAAATACAACCCTTTGAATAGAAGATAAGTGCTCCTGTATCTCTTGCGTTATGTGTATTGAACAACAAATCATGTTGAACTGAAGAAGGAACTTCACTATAGTAAAATGTGTGAGGTTGGGTGCAACTAGTTGCTTTGCATATTAAAGTATTGCTAATAGTAATAAAAACATCAAATACTTATTGCACTCTCTACATCGTTGGCATTATAATGCACACATTTAGATGATGACTAGTAATCCTGGCATCAACCCTATTTGCTAGATATAATTAATATTACTTTACAAAAGTGAAATGTAGAGCTTAGAAGTATCATGTCATTTTCCCAAAGGCATACAGATTAAAAAATTGCAAAGGCTTGAATCTGGGTGTCTTTGACCCTTTACTCTTCACTGATTCACTATGTAAGCTAAGCAGAGAACCAGCAGAGATATCAACCCCAACAGAAACATTCTAGCTATCAGAACGTCAGGCGCCCATCCAGCCCTACTGCCTTTCATTTCCAGGGCTGA